TTATAGGAATCACGTAAATGAACAACTTTTATGAAGAAAGTTTTCTCATTTGAGCTTCCGAAATTTGAGTTCTCGGCTGCTCCAAGGAAGTGATGAATTTTGGATTTTGAAGAGGAACAAAAGAAGAATAAGGGTGAAACTAAAGTGAATGAGGAAGAAAGGATGATACAATGAATGATGAGGATAAGAGTGAATTTATGATTGAAAAGCCTTAGGCTAGGTGAGTCATCAAGTTAAGAAAGAGTAATGATTCAATGAATGGGGAGGAAGAGAATAAGAAAGACTATTAGGCTAGGTGAGTCACCATTTTTAGACTAGGTGACTCATCCACCATAGGTTTACAACTCATCCCAAAATCAGATTTTTGAAGAGAATGTAAGTGGGAAGGGGGGAAGAATGAAGGAGGGAAGAAATGCTTGGCGACCCGTTGCCTCCTACTTTCTTTCTACAAGGGTATTTTGGTAATTATCCACACCTAGGGGTATTTTGGTCATGTTTGTCCAACTTGAAATTAAACACACTTAATTTAATAATCTCAATCCAAAATTACTTGATAAAATACTCATAATCATTCTCCACAATTATATTATTTTTCACTAAAATATGAAAATTTACCTTGAATTTTTCGGGATATTACACTCCCCCTTTCCGTAATTTAGATTAGATTAAAATAGAATATTATTTGTATAAAATTAAAAAAAAAGTTAGATTATCTATTTATATGCTCTCTATTATTGCTCCTTCACCCACTTGAGATTTGGCCCAATAGATTTTTTTAGCCCAATATAAATTCAAAAGCACAAAGTTGAGGAAAGCCTTATTACGGATCAAGCGCAAAACAATGGTGGCAAAATGAGGTGTTAAAAGGACAGCCATTTAGGCCCAATGAGATGTTAAAAGGACATAATTTATGACTTCAACTTTCCATTTGGTCCATTTCTAGAAGACAAGTCCGTGATGAAATAGTCAATATACTTCTTATTTATTTGTTGATAAATTACATTGTCTCTAGCGTTGAGATAAATTTACGAGTAACGGACTTATAATTTAAGTGATTAAGGGCTTATTTGGGAGTACTTATGAAAGGACTGAAAGCGCTTTCTACTAACTAAAAGAGCTTTTAATAGCGTTTGATAGAAAATTTTAGAAACACTTTATGGAGAAGCACTCCCAAATGCTTTTCCAAGAAGCATTTGAATTTTTTTTTAATGAAAATTCAAGATTTTTATAATGAAAACGCTTACGAGCATAAGTACTTTCTAAAGAACCGGTCCCAAACAAGCCTTTAGAGTATCAAGGAGATTCTCCAATAAGTATTTTATGTTAAGAATTGGTTACATATTTCTAATCTCAACCGTTAGATTACATGTATGTTGCATATTAAATCTATCAACACATCTAGTGAATCCAATCCAACGACCAAGATTAGAAATATGTAACAAATCGTTAACTTAGAGACTTATTGGAGAATCTCTCAAGAGTATCAATCCTTGCGTTAGAGGTTATGTGTTTTCGAGTACAAGCAATAGTCTAAACTACAGGTGAGGGGGGTTTCTCACACACACACAACCAAGATGTCATGGTGATTCGAACTTGAAACTTCTTATCTGCAAGTCAATGCCCTTTTTCACTAGGATAGACTTCGTTGGCTAGAGGTTATGTGTTTGATTCTTCCTCACTCAATATCAATTGTAGCCCCTAAGGTTCTATCAATTGTATCTGTTTGATTACCTTAATGAAGTTTATATATACTCTTGAATTTTTTTTTTTAAA